CACCGCAGTGACGCCACACGAGAAAAGCGATTTCGTTCTGTCTGTGAAATTAGGAACACAGAAATCAAGCTATAATCCCGGTGATAAAACAAAGCGAAATTGATCTCTGCAGCCAATACCCAACCGTTTGCGAGGTGACTAGGCGGAAGCATATACCTCCGTGCCTTTACCCTCTGCACACCGCCAGAGAGAGTCATACAAACTCCTTGGAGCTATTGTCAACACGATTGCGTTTGCAAGCCGGTAGTTTGACTCGGCTGGGATTCGTCCCTTTCATAGCTCTCTATGAAACCAGTAAGTATATACTCTCTATGAGTAGATACTTTTCTACATCGGGTGGGTTTGCCCGGGGCCTCCAGTTATTTACGGCCAAAATCACACTGGAGGCGCTTCAGCAATGTTCACTCTGGTCGACACACGTGCACTCTAAAAATGCCAGCCGTCTGCCTTCCCATAGGATACTTGAAGAGCCAATCATAGAGACCGACGGATAACGATTATGGCCGAAATTATGCTTATACCTCAAAAAATAGTAACTTAAGATACGTACGGCAGAATTATGGCCGAAATTATGCTTATACCTCAAAAAATTATAACACAAATTTGGCCGCGTCATTCCCAAACTGGTTGCCGGACGAAATTCTCTATGCGTATTGCAAGCCAGGATTGGTAATAGTAACATAAGATACGTACGGCAGAATTCCCTGCCATAAATAAAATGATTTGGTTGACGCCAAAGTAACGCGAAATAGGTGCAAAGAGTTTTGCAAAAGGAAGCGTAAACCGAAAAAAAGGGGAAAAAAAGACAGAAGAAAAGGAGAAATAAGAAAAAAAAACATCTTAGGTGACGTGGCCAAAAAAAATTCTGTTCATGTGATTTTTATTGTTACGTGACCGAACAAAAAAAAATAAACGAAATAGAAAAAGAACACGAGAAAAAAACCATCCCCTGCCCGGTTTCGAAGCTAGGCCCTCTTGATCGTGAAACTAGCGCGCTATTCGTTGCGCTTAGTTGCGCCAACATAACTTTTTTTTTCTTTCTTTATTGCAAGTTGCGCCAACATAACTCTGCCTGTAATGCTCACGCATTCTCACATCATAGGAGAAAGCTTAGGTGCCTACGCAGTGAAAAAACATCGAGGGACTTTAGACCGCACTGGGTCCTCCGGCTAATCAAGCAGCTATTTTCAAATTCTCTGACGTGCCCGTCCTCGCATCCGAGGTTGCCGTTTGACAAGCTTATCTTCCACCTGGTAGCCGGAACCCCCACGGCAGCTTTGTTCCGTCCCCGCTCCCTCTCGAGAGGATGGCCGCGCCCCGAGGCCAATCCCATTCTCTAGACGCCCTTTCCACCCAACGCTGGCCCTTTCCCTCCCCGCCTCCAGCTTCGGGAGAGAAGGTTCTTCCCTGCAGAACGTCCCGTTTGTACAGCGGCCTTTAAGACAGGGAACAATGCTGGCTAAATCGTGCACACGGATTCTGCACGTGGGGCTATAATGCTACACCCGTACGATCGCCCACATGTCGTTGATATTTTAGACAACCGATATGGCGCATTCCTCATGTTTGTGTGCATGTTTCTTTCTGCGGATGCTCTCCTATTTTGTTTATTTTGAGGCATAAGCTAGTTAGCTTCACTGGTGCTCTGAGGGAACGCCAAAGTGACCGACAATCTTCTTGAAATTTATATCGCTCCTTTTCTTTTCATTGGGAGACATTTCATTTGTCATTATCTTTTTAATTTTGACATGAGGCTCCAAGCTGAGTTCAGTGCTTCGTGTCTGTCAGTCTTTTTTTGTCCTCTTGTTCTAGAGTTATCATGTCTAAACAAAATCTGCCATATTGGTTTCTGCATACCCGGATAGCAAATACCAGCTGAGACAAACGGAAGAATTCAAGAGAGGGAAGAGCTCAGTGGAGGGGCGCGCCGATGACCTCGAAACGGGTTGCTTACGAACGTCCCTCGGCCTGGCGCAAGAGCTCTATCTCTCCCTCAAAAGGGGCGAGAGAAAGTGATGAGAAAACAGTTTCCCTCCCGTTTTCCCCACCCACCATCACTAATCTCTCCAATCTCTTCTTTGAGCGTGGGGGCTCAGCGTCCTTGTCCCTGAAGGAGGGGGGCTCCCTTCATTCCTAGGCTGACAGTATCGGAAGTGCTACGCGCCCGCCAGACCTGTTATCGCCTGCTCCGCTCTCTGCGCGTGGTTACGGGAGGGAGCGTGATCACGTGATTAGAGCCAAACGTGTGATTGGTTCAGCGGACACCTTAGCTTCCTCTTCACTTTCAGCTTAGGAGTGACGGAGTCCAGCCCGCCAAAGCACACACACATACCACACACACACACACAAAAAAAAAAAGTGGGATCGCGAGAACCAAGGCTTAACGATAAGGAAGGGACTGGAAAACGGTGGGGACGGTCCCCTCAACGTCCAACACGCGCATCCGCGAACTGCAAAGGGGCAAATGCGCTTCGCAATTTATGGAGTTTTTTTTTTTTTTTTTCGGCAGAGATAGCTCTTTTTAAGAATGGCAAGTTCAACATGCTCATATCACGACACCGTGGTGTCAGTTTCTAAGTTGTCTGTGTGCATTTCACTGCTTAGCGGACTTTTTTTTTTATCGGGCGAAGCGGATCGGCATCTCCTTTATTTACGCTACCCCTACTGAAACCAGTAAGAACGATGGTTTAATTCCAAGTGCGATCTTCAACATGCGGATTGTCAAGACCTTGGATATTCTCTCAGCAGCGTCTACACACCGGCGATCTTCCTTTGTTGTGGCCAACCATACATGTCACCACTAGCTTCGGCGGACCGAAGACACGACGGACCGAGGACACGACGGACCGCTTTCTTTTCCACGTGAGTGGCAATGAGAGGATCCTCCCCTTCCTCTTGACCATCGGGGACATGGGTTCTTTTTACGCAATGTACGTTTTGTCATGATCCGATGAGTTTGAACCGTGTCTAACTCTGGGCCGGGAGTCTCCGACGAGTCCGCGTGTAGTCCACAGCGATCGGCCCGAAAGGTCCAGTACAGTGTTATTTCTAAGTGTTTTTATTCTAATAGTCTGTGAGAGACATTCTGATTGGTTATTTTCGTGTTTGAAGTCATTTTTAGTTCATTTTTTCTGTTAATATATGGCTGTTTCTTGGCGGTAGATGTGTGCTGTAGTAAAGTCCTCCCAGTATGTCCAAAGCCGAATTCCACGGGGCGTTCAGTAGTCCTTCTTTGCCAAGATTCAGCTTTTCGGGTGGTTGTGGAGAGTCAGCTATGTCGCCGCGCTATGCGAGTGTGTTTTCCAGTAATCGTCTTTACTCGACATTTCTTTTTTTTTTTTTTAAGTGAGTGATTTACTAATTTAAGCATCATGTTCCGCTCAACTGTCATATTTTGTTTGTATAAAAGAGTAGTTATTGGACTGATAATTTAGTAGTACATTTGACACTGGTGAGATGAAAGGGAGACCAGCGGTTTGATTTATAACTTGTAAATAATATGGAGGTAATATGGGTACATTTATAACTACATATTTCTGCGCCGCAAACACCGCAATTCTTAAAACTGTTTCTCTTTTTCTTTCAAATCAACCTAGAAATATAGGAGTGAACTTAAATGTCGAGATTGCAATAAACATGTCTTAAGTCAAGATGAAGGCTTGAGGGACACTGTGATGTTGCAAGAGTAGGGCTAAGCAATTTATAGATTAAGCTTTCTATCATTTGAAAAAAAAAATCTAAATTCGACCTTGCAATGCATGTGCCTGCCCCTGCATTCGGAGTGGTACAACCAGTTCATCCGCATGCAATAAAAAGCATAGAGCCCACATCTATAGTGCAGCAGCACGATGAAGTGGCACACATGAGATGCTCGCTGACTCTCTAGTAGTGTCGGTTGTGGCAGAGCTTAAGCTCGCCGCGATGCATGTTCTGTTTTGACATGTGGCATATTTATTAGTTATTTTAATACTCGTCAATCTTCATTTGTATGTTCTTGGTTTGGGGCTCTTTTAAATTTCTTTTTCGTCTTGTTTTGTTTTGTCTAGAATTCGTGCATTTTAGAAGGAATAATTGTTTTTTTTTCTTATTAAGGTTGAATGGTACTTTTTTTTTTAATTAGCCCCTTGCAGAGCTGTAGTTACAATATTTAATTATTTATCTCCCTAAACTTAGATGTTACTTGAATTCGCTAGCTTCCTTTCTAAAGTTGTGAAATAAACTATAACATACGGCAGTCAGCACCGAAACCCAATAGGCTGTTCACACTAATTTAACTACAAAAAGTTCCTAACATATTGCATGGCACTTGGACAAATGCAGATGTTAAGAAATTGCGTTCATCCCACCCCTCAGATTCTCGTCTATATAGAGCTATGTCTTTCACCGCTATAGGTAGAGGCCAGATGATTTGCTACAGTTTGGAAGGTGGAGGGATGATGTGCATGGAAGTTAAACTCTGTCCCTCTCTCCCATATTTCCTGCTATAATTGTTCCAAAAGTCAGGGAGAAGGGGGGAGGAGACTGCCCCTTCTCCTTGCCCCCTTCTTCAGATAGGGTACAAACTTGGGGATGCCATAAATAAATGCAACCTCTTATGGCTGCCATTGCATACAAAGGGAAAACATTAGAGAGAGAGATGGATGTGGTTTATCTTTCTCTTAGGTGTTCATATCAGAAGGGGTACGAACGGTTTTGGATGGTTGCGGCTGGGCGAGCTAGCAATGAGTGCTGCCTTAGTGTTCGGTTGGGACTCTTGTTCAATCGGCAGGAAAGCGAGTCCCAGCCAACTATTGGAGCGGATCCTATGGATGGCTCCTGAAATTTTTGCAAATGGTCCATTGTCTCGCAAATGAGTGCACTGGTATTATATAGCTAAGGGCACTTAGCGAGCTGTTTGCTCTCTTTTAATATTGCTGACTCTACATTTAAGCATTCATTCTTCATTGGAGGAGGGACACGACCGATCGACTTATCCGGTGATGCGAATCAACGAAGAAGACTCAAGTGCCATAACTGTGGTCTTGGAGAATCACTCCTTTGAGGTGATGGGTATTGTGGCTGGTGCAGCGCTCGTTCTTGCACTGCACGGAGTCCACGACATTTTTTACCGTTAAAAAGCAAGCCAGTCACTCACAGTGATTGGGCACTTCATTGGTTTGAAGTATAGAATAAAGTCCGCCCTGGCTTTAGACTTGATCACAAAGTTAAAAACTTGTTAGCCAGAGGAAATTTGTGCGCCAGTTTTGCCTTTTTTGCCATGATCTGAAATTAAAATCTTGGTTTAATAAACTCTATTCTACTGTTTTCTTTCTATGCTGACTTTTCATGAGAACCTATTGCCTCTGTGCAGGCTCATATGCTATATATTTCATGTCTTTTTTGAGCTGCAGTTCCACATTTCCTATGCAACCATCTCCATGTATATTGCCGCTTTTAGATTGTAGGGCTACTGTTCATTGCAAAATACTTGAGTTGTCCCTAGTTGCATAGAACAACTCATACAATAAGGACAAAAGTATTCAAAATCACAGTCAAACCAAGGGAGGTATTGACATTCCATAGAATGATTGCAAAACGAAAAGTACAGTGGTCGCACTTCAACAGGCTAAATATGTCACTTGCCAGAAGAGTTTTTTTTTTTTTTTTTTTTTTTTTTTAGCAAGCTTTTTTTCAATAAAGCCAATTTTACACTTTCGTTCTTCTAATTCTGTTTTCAGGTGTTTCCGTTACTTTTCACTGGGTTAACTTACACTCAACAACACACTAAAACAATATTTAACAGCGTAATTGAGCGGAGTTTGTGTGACCCCTTCCTGAAGAGGGTGCTATTTCTTTTATACAGAGTTTAGGCAACACATCAAATGGGGCTGTACTTACTGTACACAATTCTTTCTGTAGAGTAATTACAGCCCCATTCCCAAGTGTTGCCTGAACTCTGTATTAAAGGGACATTGACACCCCCCAAAAAAAATTTTTTATTTTTTGCCAGGCGCTTCATTATGGTGTCGGAGGACTACGCAATTAATATTTTGTAAGAGAGTAGCGTATTTTTTTAATAAAGCCAAAAGACGCCACTGCTCGAAACCGAAACCGAAACCCGACGGAGGTCGGAGAAGTGGAGAGAAGAGAGTGGGTGGCGGAAGTCACGTGGCTACACCCGACCGTGTGTTTTTTTGTTTTTTTTTTTCCTCTCCGTAGCAGACGACGACATGCGGCGTGCGAAGCGGCGTGCGGGAACTGCTCGCCGTGCGATTCTTTTGCAGTTATGTTTGTTCCGCTCGTTGTTCTGAACTCCAAGATGACTTGTTTTGTACATTGAGGAGTTGCAGATGAGTAGTGAGTGCCCGTGGTGAATTTTCATGATCGGCTCCGAAAAGAATACACCCAAGATGTTGCGTGAAGAGCTGGCTCACATTTCCTGCATCCGAAAAAAAGTGGCATTGTGCGACAGAGTTTCCAAAAGATCAACGGGATCGGGACCAATGGCTGGCTGCAATTCCTTTAGAACATATACGGGCACCTCGGAAAGCGGACGCTACCTGATCTATATGCTCCTTGTATTTTGTGGAAAGTGATTACTTGGAGTTCGCAGGTGTCAAAACGGAAATTCCATACCATTTAATTCAGCGAAGTATCGTCCACAACATTTGTTTGTTATTTTTTTGTTTGTTTCTTCAGTGATAATTGTAAAAATAAAAAAAAAGATATGTAAACATCGGAAAATGTTTAAAAAAAAGAAAAATAAAAAGGTTCCACGGGGGATCGAACCCGGTCCTACCGCGTGTTCAAGTGGACGTCTTTCCCACTCAGCTACTGGGGCATCTCTTTTCTAGTGGATCTCTTTCCTTAGTAATAATTCAGCCGGTAAACTGTAAGTTGGAAAGTTTGCTGTCGATTTTTCTCTAGTAAAAGCACTCCCGGGTCGAAGTCGGGAAGCACCACGCTTGGGGGACATTCGCACCTAGTAAAGAAATCGTACGCGTGCATATTCAACTCGAAGTAGACACGTCGTGCTTGACGTTTGCGCGAGCGATGTCTTCAGCCACGAGAAGGGAGCGACGGCTCGGCGACGTCTTCGTGCAAATCGGCTTGGTGGCCGGGCGTGTCGTACGGGATGAATACCAATTCTTTTGATCAGTCCCAAATTTCTCTTTTAACGGTAGACAGAATTCGCCGGTACCGCGAACGACAGTTCTGAAATAGAGGTCCCACGCCCGTCGTCCGCTGCCATCGCCGTCCCCGCGAGTCACACGATACGCGAAACGACGAACGCACAGAATGCTTCCGGTTGTCTGTGGAACTTTTTTTTTTCTATCAGCGTATTTACAGCTTTTTATAATCCACAAAAAATGGGTTTCATATTTTTTTCTATTTTTAATATTGAGTGTGTGCCTTCAGTGACCCACGGCTTTGATTAAATTTGGTGGTCGCATCGATACCTTAGAAAACAGCCCGTGACCGCGGAAAAGAGAGTGAGCGAGACTCGAACCGGCCAGTTCTTGATCGGCGGTTTTCGGGCGGAAAGAAACCGAATTTCGAGTCGCAAATTGTGTTCTGCATGGGTAGTTGGGCCCTCATATGTCATGTACAAATAAAAACCTCAGCGAGCATAAACACCCTGTCAGTGTCTGTCACGCTTGTTATGGGGTATGCGGTATGCCCTGCGCACCGGAGTGCGGCTTGGTTAGTTCCTTTTATTCGCGGAAGGAATACCCGACGGTACGCGGCAGCTTCCGCAGGAACACCGCACGGAGCGCAACGTGACAAAAAAGGGAAGGGGTGGTCGTTTTGGTGCCCAGCTTTCGCCGGTCGCAAGGCAGAGAATGAGACAGAGACCGAAAGGATGCAATGAACGTAACAACAGTTTATAAACAAAATAAAGGCGGATGCGAGGTTACAATCTTAGCTCACATCTAATACAGATACACAGAGAGAGAGAGAGAGTTACAATTTTCGAGCGAGACTTTACACAATTACTACGAAGGGGTTCGGAAACGGATCAAAGGAATACGGAAAGAGTTCACCGGGCACGGCGGTCAGTCCGTCCAGTAGTTGCAGCGACGATCCCTCGCAGACGACGAAGTTCTCGCAGGGCTTGTGGGCTTGACTCCCCCGGGCACTGCAGTCCGTTCGCCCAGCGGCGGCAGCGACAATCCCTCTTGCAGACGCCAAACGTCTCGCAGACTTCCGTGAGCTGAGGTGCAGTCGCTTTCCTCCGACTCGCAATTAGCGACAGCCCAACCCTCGAGCTGCTCATACGCAGCCACGGCTCGTTTTTATAGTATTGGCGCGTTATCCTCCTCCATGCAAGTCCGCACTTACGCAGTTCACCGGGGGTACACTCTCTCCTTTGTCGAAGGTGAGGGGGAAGACGGCGCGGTGACGGTGTTGTGTTGCGTCGGCGTCGCGAGACATTCGAGAATGTTCCTGACGTTTATTGGAAAGGGGAGGCTCCGCTTCTCCCTTCTCCCTGCTTCTAGAAAGATCTGGTTGCGCGAACGACCTTGGTGCGGGGTCTCCCTCCCTTCCAGAGAATTCGACGGCCGTTTCCGGCACTGCATGGGCGCGCGCGTTTTGTGACACGGCCCCCTTCTTTTAGAATATTGTGGAACAATATTCAAAAACACACGCAAAATCGTGCGCACATGCAGGCGCTCACAAAAAGGGTTTCCGGAAAAAAAAAATTCTTATACAATAGTTAATGTGCACTTGGCACAATCTTAAAATACAACCGATACAATTCGCGACGGCACAAAAAACACTTTTTTTTTCTCAACACATTTATAGGCGGCTAAGGTAATCGGCGCCAACATTGTTACTACCTTTGATGTGTTCTACCCTGAACTGATATTCTTCTAGCAGTAGGCTCCAGCGCAGGACGCGACTGTTCAACTGTTTCGCTCGTTGAAGGTAGCTAAGAGGCTGGTGGTCAGTTTGCACGATGAAGGGTACGCCGTACAAGAAGGCGTTGAACTTTTGGAAGCCCCAAACTAAGGCTAAGCATTCTTTCTGGATGGTACTATACGCCGTTTCTCTGGGCAGTAGTTTTCGGCTAGCATATGCTATCGGGTGTAGCGTGCCCTGGTGAGCTTGCATTAGCACAGCACCGAGGCCGGTGTCTGACGCGTCGGTGCGCAGAATAAATGTCTTCGAGAGATCCGGGAGACGCAGAACCGGAGGACTGGCAATCCGTTGTTTAAGTTCTTGGAAAGCCCTTTCGTGGACTGGGGTCCACTTAACGTTGTTACCCTCTTTCTTTTTGGTTAGCTGGGTGAGTGGCTCACTGATGTCGGCATAGTGCGGGATGAAATCCCGGTAGTACCCCGTCAGTCCGAGAAAGGCGCGCACCTGGCGCTTGGTCTTTGGTGCCGGTGCGTCCTGGATTTTGTCCAGTGTTTTTCCCAGCGGTGCTAGCTTACCGTCCCCTATTCGATGTCCCAGGAAGTCGATCCTTTCTGCGCCCAATTCGCATTTGCTCGGCCGTATCGTCAGTCCGGCTGCCTCAATCCGGGCGAACAGCTGGCGCAAGGAGGCAAGGTGCTCTTCCCATGTCCTGCTGGCCACAAGGACGTCGTCGTAGTAATGATGGACGTCCGGGATGCCCTCAGTAATTCGCCGCATGAGTTTGGTGAAGACGGCTGGGGCTGTCTTGATGCCAAAAGGCATATAACGAAACTGGTAGAGTCCGGTCGTGGTTGAAAACGCCGTCTTAGGCTTAGACTCCATTGAGAGAGGTATTTGCCAGTATCCCTTCACGAAGTCCACCTTCGAGAAGTATTTCGCTTCTCCCACGTTCGCGAACACGGTGTCGGCCCGGGGCATGGGTTCCGAATCACCCACCAGAATGCTGCTCAGTTTCCTGAAGTCAACGACCAATCGGTTGGTTTGGTCCGCCTTTCGCACAATAAGGACGGGCGAGTTGTACGGCGAGTGAGCCTCTTCAATAATTCCCAGTGTCCGCATTTCGTCCACTTCTTTCTCGACATTTTCCCGCGTGGCGAATGGTAGTGGATACTGCTTGACATGAACTGGGGTGTCGGTGGTGAGTTCGAGGTGGCACTCGACCCAGTTTGTTTTGCCGGGCACGTTGGAGAAGATCTTGTGGTAAGTGGCCATTGCTTCCTGGATTCCCGATGTCTGCTCCGTCGTTAACCTTGGGTTTAGCTTTACGTCTTCAGTCCCTTCGGTTTTCACGAACTCCGGCACCGGAATACCATTTTCCTCGTTCCAGTCGGACACTCCGCAGATCGCTTGGCACTGCTTTTCCGGGCTCTCGCGTTTCCTTTCCTCGTACCGTTTTAGCAAGTTCGCATGAAAGACTTTGAGTCCCCCGGGGGTGTCAACCGAGTAGTCGACGTCCCCCTTCCTTGCCTTGACCTCGAAGGGCCCCTTCCACTGCAGAAGTAGCTTGTTGTTATCGGTTGGGAGGAGAATCAGGACTTTGTCGCCGGGCTGGAATTGGCGGTCCTTCGCCTTTCGGTTGTAAATTTTTGCATAACGGGCACCCGCCTACTCCAGTTCTTGGTGGGCCAGTCGACAGGTTTCTTCCAGTCGGTTTCTGAGGTCGAAGACATGCTGGTACGTCGTCTTTGCCTCTTCTTCGAGGTCGAGGTTGGTCCACACTTCTTTTAGGATAGAGAGCGGTCCCCTAACATGGCGCCCGTACAAAAGTTCGAAGGGCGAGAACCCGAGGCTGGTCTGGGGCACCTCCCGGTAAGCGAAAAGCAATGGGGCCAGGTAGCGGTCCCAGTCTCGGGGTCTCTCAGCACACATGCGCTTCAGCATCAGCTTGAGGGTGCCGTTAAATTTCTCCACCAGACCGTTAGCCATGGGGTGGTAAGGGGTGGTGTGGAGCTGGCGGACGGAGAGCAGTCGAGCCACTTCCTTCATGAGGTCTGAGGTGAAGTTGCTGCCTCGGTCACTAAGCAACTCCTTCGGAACTCCGACGCGAGAGAACATCTCGACAAGCGCCTCGGCCACACGTTCGGTCTCGATACTTGGCAAGGCTACGGCGTCCGGATAACGGGTAGCGTAGTCCATCAGGGTCAGGATGTACCGGTTCCCCTGTTTAGACGGTGGGTGGATGGGCCCCACGATATCGATCACCACTTTTGAAAAAGGGGTCTCGATTACCGGGGCCTTACCGAGCGGTACGCAAGGTACGCGGCCTTTTGGGACCGTGCGCTGACAGATGTCGCAGGAGGCTACGAACCTCTTTACGTCAGCCGTGAGACCTGGCCAGAAGAACTCCTCCTTGATGCGGTCCTTCGTCTTTTCGCTCCCGAGATGACCCGCCATAATGCCGTCATGAGCTAATTTCAAAACCGTTTTACGGTGAATCTCGGGAACGACTAGTTGACGGGTTCGTCGGCCTGTCTTGTCGGTATAGTATCGGTAGAGCAGCCGGTTTTCCCTCTTGAACTCGACTGTGCTCTTCCCGTCCCGACCCGTCGACTTCTCGCCTATCCGCGCTATGCAAGCCTTAAGGGTCTGGTCCCGCTGTTGTTCCTCTGCATAGCTTCGGTCCTCCATAGGCTTCTCCGCGGGGTCTGGCGTTTGTAGGGGTGAGAAGGGCTTAGCCTGTGCCTTCGCTTGTGCCCGTGTTACGGCAGCAGCGGTGGGCTCTGGGTCTGCCGGCTTGGGTTCAGGTTCAATCCAGGGTTGTCCTTCGCTAGCCTATTGTGCTCCTCCTCGGGTCCGGGCAGCGGGTCTTCTGGAGCCCTTGCTCCCTCTACGTTGCCCACTATGAGCTCGTATAAGGGGTTCTCCATGCACAGTGCCGTGACGGACCCACTCAGATAAGGGGTCTCCACCTGTACTCGCGCTTTGGGCAACAGTCGAACGGTGCCGTCTACTAGGTACACGGGCCGCTCATCGCCGGTAAACTCGTCGTCCCGGACCAGATCTCGCTTCACTATAACAGTGCTGCTGCCCGTGTCGCGTAGCACGGAAACCGTTTTTCCCGCCACCTTTCCTGTGAGTACGGGCATTCCTTCCACCAGATATTCTGGTCGGGCTTTCATGACGGCGTTGACCACCGGGATTTAGTCCCCGTTCTTGAGCTCGACGAAGCCGTCGCTCAGGTCTGACTTAGTGGGTTTTCTCGGGGGAACGTAGACGCATGATGCCTGTGCGGCTGGCTTGCCTCCACCTCGGCACACGGCCGCCTTGTGTCCCTTCTGCCCACACTTGAAACAGGTCGTAACGCTCGAATTCGTGGTGCTGTTACGACAGTTGGATGCGTAGTGACCTAGCTTATTGCACAGGTAACACTTGGGCGGGGGCTTCCGTGGCGCATTTGAATCCCGGGCGTCTGGTTTGCCCGTGCCTTCGCGCCCTTCCTTCTTACTTCGCACAAGGTTGGTTCCTCGTTGCGCTTCCAAGTACTGGTCCGCTAGTTCCAGCATCTCCTCTAGGGTCTTGGCTTTCCTTTCCTTGAGATACAGCAACAGGCTCGGATGGCAGCTACCCAGGAACTGGTCTTTGATGAGTAGTTCTCGAAGTGCCCCGTATTCTCGATCGATCTCCGCAAGCTCTGTCCAGCGATCGAAGTAGTGGCTCAGGCGAGCCGCAAACTGAGTCGCTGTTTCTCCATCTGCGGGCTTTTCGGATCGGAATTTCTCCCGGAATCCGTCCAACGTGAACCGAAACCTCTTTAAAAGTGCGGCCTTAACCTTTACGAAGTTGGTCGCATCGCTCGAAGATAGTCTCCCGAACACGCTCAGGGCTTCACCGCTGAGCCGAACGCTTAGAGCATTAGCCCACTGGTCCTCTGGCCAGTTCTGACTGCGGGCGACTCCTTCGAAGCGTCTTATATACGCATCCAAGTCGTCCTTCCTTTCGTCGAAAGGTACTAGTAGCTTGTCTAGCCGCAAACTACACCCCTTTACCTTAACGCTGGGCCCCTCCGTTCTGGGTTCCAACTGTTGGAGTTGCAGTTTCATCTGAAGGAGTTCCTTCTCTCGTTCGAACTGCCTTTCTCGTTCTTCTTTCTCCGCCCTCTCGCGTGCTTCCCTTTCCTCCCTGGCTTCTTTATCCTTTTGGGCAACCCACTTCCTCAGTTCAGCCCCTGCTAAACCCATCTGGGCTCCTAACGCCACAAGCTTTTCGAGATCCATGCGGTATCCCGAACGGTTGACCAGCAGGAAGCACTAGATTACCTTTAAACAGGCCGACCTAGGCCTTGCGAGGGTTCGCAATGTTGGGCCGCTATCTAATGAAGCGCTAACGCTCTCAGTTTTCAGACCCAATCTCTCTTCTCCGCACTTACGAAGCACCAAAACGTCCTGTCGCGGACGCCAGAAAAATTGTCACGCTTGTTAGGGGGTATGCGGTATGCCCTGCGCACCGGAGTGCGGCTTGGTTAGTTCCTTTTATTCGCGGAAGGAATGCCCGACGGTACGCGGCAGCTTCCGCAGGAACACCGCACGGAGCGCAACGTGACAAAAAACGGAAGGGGTGGTCGTTTTGGTGCCCAGCTTTCGCCGGTCGCAAGGCAGAGAATGAGACAGAGACCGAAAGGATGCAATGAACGTAACAACAGTTTATAAACAAGATAAAGGCGGATGCGAGGTTACAATCTTAGCTCACATCTAATACAGATACACAGAGAGAGAGAGAGAGTTACAATTTTCGAGCGAGACTTTACACAATTACTACGAAGGGGTTCGGAAACGGATCAAAGGAATACGGAAAGAGTTCACCGGGCACGGCGGTCAGTCCGTCCTAGGGAGCCTACATGTGTGCTGCGCTTAGGGTGATGCCAACTGCCGGTTCCCTCTCTCCCATCGCCATTTTGTTTCTCCATATTTTCGCTAAACGTACGCAAACTTGATTTTTATTCCCCGCGAAACACCAGCAACACTGTGAGGCCGCTTCCGTTTCCGTAGCACCTAGGTCCGGCGCCGCGCCGCCGCCGCTGCCGCCGCCGTTGCCGCCGCCGTTGCCTCCGCGAAGGGCGGTGACCCGCGTTTGTCGTCGTGCGCGGTCGAGGTTGAGGCTCTCGCGGTCTTTCACGCTTCGTTGGTTCAGCTGCCTCACAATCTGATGCTGCGAGCTGAGTGTGGACCGCTTTCAACGAAATGCGAGTGCTATTGGATACTCAACCTCTCCATCTCGGGCGTCTAAACTCGATCGTTGTTACGAACAGCCTTCTCTGTGCCCGAGCCCGGACGCGAATGTTGCAAATTTTGTGCGTTCTTGTTTACTTTAGGGAGCCATCATGTGCGCTTGCACTCTAGTTTGCTTTATTTCTAACACGTAGCTCAACGTTTCCGCTTGTGCGTCTGGAGTCGTCAGCTACAGACTCGACCGACCGGCGCCGATCCGTCGCTGTTTGCTGGAGTCGCTCGTGTGAGTTCTTCGTGTGTTTCGTGTGCGCTGCTGTGTGCTAGTACGTGTCTCAGTGTGCATTTTGCGCAGTCGGCTTCAGCCTCGTTTAACCGGCAACCGTAGTCTTCCGACTACGCTGGACGAGTCTTCCTGTGTGCAATCTGCGTGCACTTCGAGCGTGCCCCAACGTGTGTTGACGTGCGTCTTTAATGGTCGGCTTCAGGCTCGTCTGATCAACGACCGATCATCGTCCAACATGCGTGCTTGCACCCTTGTTTACTTTATTTCTACAACACGTAGCCCAACGTCTCCGCTTGTGTGTCTGTGTCTGGAGTCGTCGGCTACAGGCTCGACCGACCGGCGATCCGTCGCTGTTGGCTGGAGTCGCTCGTGTGAGTTCTTCGTGTGTTTCGTGTGCGCTGCTGTGTGCTAGTACGTGTCTCAGTGTGCATTTTCCGCAGTCGGCTTCAGCCTTGTTTGACCGGCAACCGTAGTCTTCCGACTACGCTGGACGAGTCTTTCTGTGTGCAATCTGTGTGCGCTTCGAGCGTGCCCCAACGTGTGTTTTGACGTGCGTCTTTAATGATCGGCTTCAGGCTCGTGTGATCAACTGCCGAATGTCGTCCAACATGCGTGCTTGCACCCTAGTTAACTCTATTTCTACAACACGTAGCCCAACATCTCCGGTTGTGCGTCTGGAGTTGTCGGCTACAGGCTCGACTGACCGACGATCCGTGGCTGTTCGACTAGATTTGCTCCCTGTGAATTCTTCGTGTGTTGAGTATATGTCGCACTCGGCTTCAGTCTTGTTTGACGCTTTCCTGTCAAATGAGGCTTGAAAGCATCAAACTTTTGTAAAATCAACGCCGTCTAGTCCACCCGCAGCAAAATATAGAGGTGGCTTGGACATCACAAAAGTGGGCGGCCAGCTAACTAGTGGACGGCAGAACTGTTGCCTCCCACTGCGGGAAGAACCCTGGTGCTAGCCTACTGCACCTCTCCTCATCTCTTCTTGTTCATTAAACCATGTCACCGAAAGTTCTTTTCAATAGAATTATTCTCTCATTTGATGATATTTAATATCATACTTTATGGCCGAGCTCTTTCCTTAAGCACCATGTGGGTAGGTTTTCTTGATGAAGCTTAAGCCATTCTCCGGAAAGTTTGAAACAATGCATTGGTGTCGTCACTGACACCCGATATTCGATTTACCACACCTAACTGTTCGCGCAGGTTTGGGGTCCCAGAATCGAAGTACGAGATTTCTTCACTACAAAAAATTCTACAATGCCTTGCTTGCATAACACCATCAAGGTGGTTTTCCTTTTGTGTGAAATCACACTACCGTTGCAACTTCCCAGGACTGCAGCACTCTTTTTCAAAACAGTGTTCTTTTTGACGCAGTGCAGCCACAAGTGGGAGCAAGTTTGGTTGTGCTCTGGTGTCCACTTTAAGTGAGATCGTGAGATCTCCTTGCCATCCACAGTTGCCGGTGCGAGCCACTCAGAACCACGTCCTGCATTGCACCCGCTGATTTCAAGAATGTCAAAATCTGGGCTACCTTCGCTTCTTTTTTCCACAATGTTCTTTACTTCACGCACTCGGTCCGTCTTGCAATAAGCCTCAAAATGGTCTACAAACTTTGCCCAAAGCGGGACACATGGGGCCCCGGTGTAAGAAGTCGCACTTCGTGCACCATTCTTTTCCTTTGCCTTGTTTGTGAATAGGAACTTGCCCCTCCAACGCTCTACTCTTAACGACATGGACCGTTTTCTTTGGCCCCTCCCATACCTTCATTTGCTTGGCAGCAATTTCGTCCTTTTTTCACATTTCCAGAGCTTTTTCTAGCTTTAGATCGGGTTCCCAAAGAAGTCTCTGGTGCAACGTCTTGCTTGCAGTTCCATGTATGATTTGGCCTCGAATCATTGACCTCACCAGCGTCAAAAACTCACACGACTTGAATTTAAACTGCAAGTCGCGGTTGAATTGCTGGCATGGCTCACCGTCAGCCTATACTTGCGGTCAGCTCTCCGTGGCAATCCAAAGAGGAGGAATGTGCGTGTACAGCGGTTGGTGCACCCTCTCCCCTAGCATTGACTGCATTGCCACAGAAAAGTGACCGCGAGTATAGATGCGTTTTCTACAGATGCATCTATCGAAGCTAGCCTTCGCCCATGGCTCCTTCAGCTCCTGCGCCCATCCTAGGGGTTCGACAGTGGAACTGTCGAGGCTTGAGCAGCAAGGTTGGAGAAATCAACCAATGCATACACCTCAAAAAGCTTTCTACTTAGGCCACTGGGCCTTTACAGTTTCACTGAATACTTATATTCCGGATCGTCATTGCGTCTCCTCATCAGCTACTGGCAAGGCGGCAGCAGGCACGTAGCCGGGGGGCCATGGGGCTTGGGCCCCCCTCCAAAATCTTCCATTTCGCTGGGACCTCCTCTCCCCCTCATACCCTCATACAGCATTTTGTCATGGGTGGGACCACCTCCCCTCCCCCTTCCCCCCCCCCCCGCCCCCCCCCCCCCCCCCGAAACAAAATCCTGGCTACGTGCCTGGGCGGCAGTGTATCTAGACACTTGGTATCCTCGAGCGCCTATCCAGCTAACAAAGCAGTGGACTCGGGGGCAAGAAGTGGTTGCTGTGCTTGTACGTGCACAGAAAATGGGCTATATTGGGGGGAGGGGGGGGGGGGGGGGGCGGAAAAAGGGCGAGTTGGAACCCCGTAATAATCCTGCTATGCCCCCAAAGAACTTCGACGCGGCAAAGGCGTCTGTCATCAGTAAAAAAAAAACCTTTAGGGGCTGCCATATTTAGGTTACTGATGAGCTGGAAGCAGCTATCTGAGCATTTGTGGGACGGCCTTCCAAAAAGTGGCTCCAGCAGGTGTAGAAGCATTATCACAATGGTGCCAGAGGTACATTTATTAATGAAAAAAAAAGTTCCAATTATTTTAGTATACCTTTCATGATTTGCCTTAGAGTGAATACACATTCAGTCAATGTAACAATTCCAAAAGCAAAAAGAGTGTGTCCTTATTTATTTTGACTCTACATATTTGGACCAAGGCAAGCGGGACTATGAAACACACGACAGAAAAAAACTATACACAAAGATAGATTTGAAAAGCATTGAATAGATGAGCTGCATGCCTCTACAATCGCTACGCTAGCACACTGCTCAGCACACAAACCCTATGAAAGGTTTACACCAGCACATGTCTTGCTTGAATGGCCACTTGCACGTTTTTCTAGACGGGCCTGTTTGAGGTGAATCTTCAGCCGGAAATGCAGATACTTCTCCAGAAGCAGTTTCTCCACACTGTCTCTGTGCTGTGAGCATACTCCGGTGTTCACCGAGCTGTTTCTTGTAAGCACAGACGCGATACTTTTAAATGGAGAACACAGACTCAAAATGTTGGTTGTGAATGTAAGGCCCTTGAATTGTTCTTCACATTCGATCAAAAACTCCATGGCTTTATCACTGGGGTAGATTAAGTTCTCACTGTGCTTTACAAATTCCTTCATTTTGATCAGGGTGCTGTGTTTACTGTTCGAGTTTGATGTCAGGGCTTCTTTGCAGGTGTTGCAGTTCACAGACTTAAGCACTGCACGCAGGAGGAATCCACCTACATACGCTAGAATGTCTTTCTCCTCTTTGGATAGCATTGACAGCACCCAATCCATGATCTCCTCTGGAGCTTCAGGCTCTTCTGAAGGAACCCTCGCACCCTCTGAAAACAAGTCGGCAAGCTGTTCCCCATCATCAACAGCATAGCCAGATGTCCTGGGAGTCTGGACAAACTGGCTAACGCAGATCATGCGGAGAGCACACTTGAACTCACAGGCTCCAGGCACTGGTTTTCGAAGACGGACAACCGAGAATAGGTTTTCGAGACAGTCCTGCGTCGTTCGTCCAGTCAGTAGATAGCCATACCCATGCTCATTCAGGAGTTCATGTTGAAGTTGGTAGACAACTGTGGTTGATGTTATAAGTCCTGCTTGTGAAGGCTTCCAGTGTGATGTCGAGCCCATGGTCATCTCTCGGAAGGTGCAGGCTGTGATGTTTAGCTTTTCGATGGCAGCTTGGTGTTTTGTGGCATCGAAATTACTCAACGCCACAACTGGATGCCTCGCCGACATCAAAGTGAACCATACAGAGACAAGCTCACAAAACCAAGCAGTGGTTTCTGCCTGAGCTGGCAACTGGCCCTGGCTCACTCTGTAGCGGATGGCCACTGGAGCTTCGCGAAAAAACTGGACGGCGATGTTCACCCTCATTTTTGTAAAGTGACCGTCACTGAGGTGAATGTCTGACATGTGAGGAGCCACCTTTAGTTCATTTTCTTTATCTAGCTTCAGTGTTGCGTCGATATACTCGAGCTTGATGATGTTTGTGGGGAGTCCGTTTTCTTCAACAATCCGCTTGCTCAGGAAGAAGATGTCCGAGCGAATCAGTTGGGCTCGAATGTTCTTCAGCAGATGGGCGACACCGGCCATGAAATACAGACGGCGCCCCTCAAGGCATGGGTGTGATATGCTGCACACTGTGTCAGAGTCCCTGGTACTTGAAAGGCCAAGTTCGCGCCTCATTGCTCTGTTTGGTGCACCCATGTCGCTGGTGACCACGAGTACTTTTAGTCCCGCTTCGAAGGACAACTTCACAATCTGGAGGACAAAGTCTTTCAGGAGGGTGCCTTCAAGCGACCGCCCCGTGAAGTGGTACGCTACTACCTGTTTCCACCGGGTCGTCAAGCCCCCCAACATGAAAACCAAAGCACGGTTAGCTTCGACTTCCTCCATCTTCGGAAGAGTCACAGACCCGAGAAAGCAATCCTGCGACTGATCATGTTCTATGCCCCCTGAAATTTCCATCTCGTCTAGAAAGAGAACGCAGTCCCGTTCTGCATCTTCCATGGTCTCTACTTTTTTTTTCAGGACATCGAGGACTTCTTTTAGAATTCCTGGTAAGAAGCAAAAGCCTTGTAGTCTTCGCATTAATGTCCTGGTGCTGGGCAGAGGGTAGCGGAGTGTCCGAAGGAGCTCATACCCCGTGGTGCCGCATGCAAACTTGACTTGAAGAGCTTGCTTGATTGTTGTCATTGACCATGTCATACCCCGGCTGTTTTGTTTTGCAAGGACCTTCTTTTGATCGTCGGCCAGGAACTTCGGTTCCTTAAGTGCCTGAAGCTGTTGTTGTACACATTTTAGTTGACTCTTGAGGGTTCGGATCTGCTTCCTTGCATTCACATGATGTTCTTGAAGAGAACTGTACTTTTTTAGGACGTCGTGTAGAGCTTTCTTTAACTCCAGACAACAAACGTTCTCTGTTCCTTCTGTCACACTTTTGGGTGGTGGCTCATTTTCAGGTAGTGACATAATGTTTGTAGGATCTTCCGTGACGATATCCATGGAATCGTTGTCAGAGATGAAGTCATCTTGCTGAGGTGTCAATGAAGCGGCAGTCGATAAAACAGATTGAAGTGTGGGGCCGCTCCATCCAGTTGTAGCATCACTGCAGATTTCGTCATGGATAGTTGATTCAGCTAAGGCATGAATGGGAGGATCCCCAGCTGCGGTCCCAGGTGATGCGTTGACACAAGCTGTGTTGTTGGTCGTGCTTGTGGCGCTTGTACTTAATTCATGGCTCGAGGTGCTTGCGGCCGAGCTGCGTTGTTTCTCTTCTGTTGGCTCAGGCGTACTGGATGATGCTGCCACTGCCTCTTCAGATGAGGCATGAATAGGAGGATCGCAGGCTGTGGCTCCAAGTGATGCACTGATGCAAGCTGCCTCTTCAAATCGGTGCGGCACTACTTTTTCGGGGCTTTGCTCTGCTGGCTTGTACTTCGGAGACGCTGGAAGAAATTAAAGAACACAATAATTAAGTTTAGCCATCATGAAAAACAAATTACCGTGCAATTTTTGCATAATGTGCCACACTGAAGGAACGATCAGATTTTTTCTTTTTGTGCAGTCACGATAATGGGCATTTGGGGGTGGACATGGAGAGTCTGGACAGCCTGGTAGGCTCTGAACTTGCTAATTGGCACATTTGAATAGAATAAAGTTACAGAAATATTTCAAACTAATCTGCGTGCTTGTCTTCTTTTTTTCCTAGCAAATGTTAGACGTTACTGCATGCATCGGGGAGCATGGCACATCACACTAATTGAATTAATTTATTTTATGAAAATATTTAACATTATAATAAAAAAAAAATTTGTCTTTCCTTCCCGTGTCCTAGTGCATCTCCTAGTTCCACCAGGCTTTGCTCACCTTGAGAGGAAAACAATGTTGGTATGGCAGTCAATTTGAGGCGCCGCCACCCATCTGCACGTTTCTCCTCAAAACAGGATAGTTCGAAGTGTACCTGAAAAAGGTTTACCGGATTTTCAGACACAACACATTGTGAAACAGTTTCTGCTCTGTTTCATGTATATGACACGCTGAGTGAAACATGATCCCAGCTTCAAATAGTACCTGTATTTATAAATACATGAAGGCTCCTTACATGAGATAGGTTAAGGTTTTTCCAGATGTAAGGCGGCAGGCTAACTCTGCTGTGCTCTATCGCTGCTAAACCTGCGGGCTACGACGCAGCTGTGTCAGCCGGCACGCACTCGTACACCATCCTATTTTTTATGACTTGAAGCAGAAAGTCACGCAGATATGCTCAGGGGTGGATTGTGTCCCTGTTCAGAAGCAGCGAAGAGCGACGATGCAGTTTTGAAAGCAGAGTGCTCATGATGCGCGAGCGCTCGGAACCTCGCGCGCAAGCACACCTGTCCGCGAGCAAAGCTGTCCCAGAGTAGTCACGGACGTGACTGCCCTGGACGTTTCGTTCGACCACCCGACAGCGTAAGTGTACGAAACCGAACATCGGTACTGCTGTATGATAATTTTGTACTTACGCCGCAGACACGCGATGTACTCGTTGGCTCCCAGAGAGGCCTCTTGATCCGCGAAACCCATGCCGCCTTTCTTTCCGGATTGGCTGGAAATCTGTACAACTTCGCACCATTCTTGTAACTTTGCCGACAGTATGGAACGCAGCAAACCGGCATTGCATATGAAAACTTCTCATTGGCGAGGACCCGGGACGACGCACCGCACTCGCCGCACTGTTCACCGTACCAACAACTAGCCCTAACGGGGATTATCGCAGTGAAACAAAATGGCTGCAAACATAGCGGGGTAACCATGGTAACGAGATTGGCAACATTGGTTTGTCGGCAACTGGTATTACAAAGAATGGCATCACCCTAAGCGCAGCACACATGTAGGCTCCCTAGTCCGTCCAGTAGTTGCAGCGACGATCCCTCGCAGACGACGAAGTTCTCGCAGGGCTTGTGGGCTTGACTCCCCCGGGCACTGCAGTCCGTTCGCCCAGCGGCGGCAGCGACAATCCCTCTTGCAGACGCCAAACGTCTCGCAGACTTCCGTGAGCTGAGGTGCAGTCGCTTTCCTCCGACTCGCAATTAGCGACAGCCCAACCCTCGAGCTGCTCATACGCAGCCACGGCTCGTTTTTATAGTATTGGCGCGTTATCCTCCTCCATGCAAGTCCGCACTTACGCAGTTCACCGGGGGTACACTCTCTCCTTTGTCGAAGGTGAGGGGGAAGACGGCGCGGTGACGGTGTTGTGTTGCGTCGGCGTCGCGAGACATTCGAGAATGTTCCTGACGGTTATTGGAAAGGGGAGGCTCCGCTTCTCCCTTCTCCCTGCTTCTAGAAAGATCTGGTTGCGCGAACGATCTTGGTGCGGGGTCTCCCTCCCTTCCAGAGAATTCGACGGCCGTTTCCGGCACTGCATGGGCGCGCGCGTTTTGTGACAGTGTCCCTTTAAAGCGTTAAGTACTCTCTAAGCAGGGGTCATACCAACTGCTCAAGTGTGCTGTTATGTGACATTAACTCTTGCTAGAGAGCATAGTTAACTCGTTAATACAGACTGCAGGCAACACTTCTAATGAAGTTGTATTTACCCCACAAAAAGGTTATAACAGCTCTTCCTGGCGAGCGTGTTTAACTCTTAAATACAGAGTTCAGGCAACACTTCTAATGGAGTTTTAGTTACTCTCCACAAAGAAGTGAATTAAGCTCTTCCGGGAGAATATGTTTAACTCTTGCTTACAGAGCTTAGGCAACACTACTAATGGAGTTGTAGTTACTCTAGACGATGGAGTGAGGGTAACTCTTCCTGGCGAGTACTCTTAACTCTTGAATAGAGAGTACACGCAACATTCTAATAGAGTTGTAGTTACTCTACACGAAGGAGTGAAGGTAACTCTCCCTGGAGAGCATCCTTCACTCGTCAACATAGAGTTTCGGCAACACTTCTGATATAGTCACTCCACACAAAGGAGTGAAATGTGCTCTCATCAAAGAGTTTAGGCAACACTTCTCATGGAGTTATAATTACTCTACACAAAAGAGTGAAGTTAACTCTTACATTTACACATCAAAAGATTAACCCTTACTCTCTCAAAAGCATTAGAGTTACTCTTTATAGAAGAGTTAAGTGAACACTTGTATGTAAGAGTTAAACACACACTTGCCTCCGAAGAGTTATAGTTACTCTTTAAAAGAGTGGATTCTGTGACAAGCCACTTACACTCCAAAAAGAGTTAAATCGACACTTATTTTTTTTAGAGTGCAGCCCGGAGACAGGGTGCGGGTGTGGGCACCGATTCGCCGCCGTGGTCTCAGCGAGAAACTCCTGAAGCGCTACTTTGGACCCTACAAAATGGTTCGTCGACTTGGGGATCTGAACTACGAGGTAATGACCAACGGAACACGGACTTCATCACGCCGGCCTCCACGACCGAAAGTCGTCCACGTCGTGCGCCTCAAGCCGTACTACGATCGATAGGACTGTGAATTGTGTTTTATAATACGCTCAATAGGGTTATGTTGCACAAGACTACGTAGTTTGCCATTATTTTTGGTTGTTTCGAATTTTTTATTTCCCAGCAGGTCGCATCGAGACAATGCGCTTTTTACGGGGGGAGTAATGTCACGCACGTTTGCGAGTAAGCGCGTGCGTGCGGAGTGTGCGTTACCGCGCTTGACTGTCGCGCGGAAGGTGTAGGTTCGATTCCAGTCAGCGGACTGTCGTTTTATTTACTCTTTCAACGTGGCCTTCTCGTAAGTATGAGAACATTCTCGTCTGATCGAGTTCCAAATGTTCTACGCACCGGAAGTTCTACGCCGAATCATCCAGAAACCCAGGAGGGTACATAAGGGACTCCGCAAGGCGAGCGAGAGTCAGTCTCGCCCCAGCGTTTGATCCTGCAGTTGCGCCGCCATCGACGCCTGCGACGCTGTCCTTTTTTTCTGTTTTTGGGAACAAGTTCGCCAAATTAAACGTGTATTTCTTCCTGCTTATTCACGGTTCTTTCGGTCACCACCCGTGACTACACCTACACAGTCAAACGCAATGTATGGAATGTAACGGGTCTAAGTGGTGCTACAGGTTTTGTTCGGACTCCTGCAAGGCTTCGTGTTTTCGCCTGTACTATTTCTAATTTATATAAATAACATTGCCAATCATATGAATTAAAGTGTCACCGTCCAATAGTATGCTGAAGATGGTGCCATTTATTATGTTATCACGATCACTTCCTGTCAGACACTCCTGAATGACAAACTTTGTAAGCTTGCGGACTGGTACGGAGAGCAGAGTATGAAAATTAACTTTACCAAAACAGTCGCGAGGACTGTATCGAGAAAGAAAAATTATCATATCGTACCCCTATCATATTTCACTCCAGTGCATTTAGACTGTTTCGTCTGTGAAGTATTTTGGCGTAACAATAAAAAATAACCTTACGTTGAACGAACATCTAAATAACAAGTGATCTAGGGCATTGAAGAAACTGCTCTTTGCGAACAAAAAAAAAGGGCTGTCCTACGAATGCCAAGCTTCAAGAATACCATTCTCTAGTTTGACCAGTCCTACAGTACGCCTCAATCGCACGGGATCGGCATTTTGATACATACATTACGGAGGTGCAGCGTATCAAATGTCTTCCTGTTCGGTATATCTTCTCAGACTATCGATCTTCATGATCAATAGTTAATATGCTAAAGCAGCTGGAACTGGAGCCGCTCCTCCTACACAAACAAACCGCCAGACAAAAGTTTCATTTCTTCTCTCGTTCACATCATATCTAGCTTATCAAGTGCAAAATATTTACTAAATCACTCTAAACTGATTAGAACATACTTTGCCAGAAATAAACTATTTTGAAGATCGTTCTTTCCCAAAACAGTTGAACAGTGGAATTGCTTGCCGAAATTGCTTGTTGACATTACCTGCAGTATATTAGATACATAAATAAATATATATTCTCCTCTTCGAGTACGATCGTACTGTATGCAACGGTTAAATTGCCGCTCCGAAAAGGCGGCGTCTGTACTCCAAGTCTGAGGGGACTTCGAACTTTCCTGTCATTAACACTGACAAAGTCCAGTTGTATCTGCATTTTAACCTCGAATAAGACAGGTACCATTGACAATTATTCTCACGAACGCAAAATAAATTCTATATATATATATTTTTTTGCTTTTCGCCTACTGAATGGTTTTCTTTTTTGACCATAACGAAAGAGGAACATGGGAGACTGGACTGTTTGTCTTCCATGTCCACAGACACTTTGTCTTCCATGTCCCTCTTTGGTTATCGTAGATTAGAAACCAACACGCTCAATCAATCTATATTTTCTTCTCTCTCTCATTTTTTGAGCCTGATATCTTCCATAGCATTAGATGATATGGCTCACAACTTTTTTAAGGCAACGCCAGGTTCGAGGTAGAAGTCTGGAGACCAAGTAATTCCAAACGGAAGAGCAAAATATGCTTCTTTTATTTCTTGTAATATAGACAATTTGTTGAACAATTCAAATTAAACATTTACTCAAGTTACTTTTGTTCTTAATATAATAAAAATATTGCAAGCGATTGCGTGCAGCAGAAACTATATATTTCAATATACCTCGTAGTGTATATCTTTCAAATACTCAGTTGTGTATTCTGTGCCGCTTCGTAACGTAATTATTTTGTAGAGAAAAACAACGTAAATCCAAAGAAAATTGGAAACACGTGTCTTTTCGATTTGACTCATTGTTGAGGCTTAAATGCACACAATCTGACAACGTCAAACTCTATTGGAGTTTCATAGGTTTCTTGCATAGTCCAAAGTTTGATAGCTTCTTTGTTCGCATCTTCAAGAAGTTTCAATTTCTCTGCCCCGGTTAGTAATGTTGTCAAAGGATTCATTGCCATCAGCTCGTCTGAAAAATAAATATGAATAGACGTCACGTGTGAAACGTTATAGCTCAGACACCTGAATACGTCATACACTTGCTTAAGGTAACTGGCGATGGGAAATCAGTGCCAACATCTCCATCTGTTTTTATGATATAATGAAGTAAAGCATCAGAGATTTGAGGAAAAAAAAAAAACAAATTCAATGGACTGAATAAAAAAAAATTATGGTGGCTTAGCTCGGCTATGCCAGGATATACGTAGTGTGAGCTTATGCGCACAAAATGAGAGGCGCTATCAAGCGGCTCCGGTGCAGCGTTAAGCGCGAGACACATGCGCGAAAAAGCCATCCGATCCGACGTGCGAACCGCCGGAACGACGTCCGAGGGCGAGGGTTTTCGTCGCACCGGAGCGTCGGACGAGGCCTCCGTCCGGCGCCGGCGTGCGTCCAACTTGCCAGATATTGCCGCACGCACGGTCCGATTTTCGGAAGGCCGCAGTGGCCGCAGCCAATGAGCACGGATGGCGAAGGTCATGTTGTCAAGTGGCATTCGGACCGATCGGGCGAGGAGGCGCTACGGTGGCGCTACGTGGTTCGGAGAAGCGGATGTGGCGGTGCGCGGTGCGTCACGCGAGGCGAGTCGTGGTAGTGAAGGAAACGGACGCCACCGAGTTTTCCCGCGCGCACAGAACGAGCTGCTGATTTCGCGCGCCAAAGCAAGCCGGCCTTCTGGGACCGATCGAGCCCGTCGAAACCCGAATATACTCCGTTTCACCTTAGGATGGACAGCAGCGGACGCTACGAGCCATTCCAATGTCATGTGAGTGTCACGTGAACTTGGGGAGAGACTCAGCAATGCGCGCGGTACGTAGTCACGTGATTTGTACGCAGTGCTCGTTTCGCTGGGATGGCTCTAAGGTCCGCTGCGTTCCTTCGCGGTTAAGTGATGTTGAGCAGAAAAATAGCCTCACGGAAAATCTTCACACACGCAAACTTTAATAGAATGTAATAAAAATATTACGTTTGTTTGAAAGTCGGAAAAACCAAGAAGGGCGAGGGAAGTATTTATTTTTCTAGGCTAGGTGGCGCGAGCTACCGCCCGTTATAAATATAGCCATTAGCATCCATTTATCCATTTGGTAGAAGGACACCCGAAACTGGGCGGAGCTGAACGGAGCGACGCAACGACGCGTCGGAAACCATGTGTCGCGAACCGTCCTGTGCGGCGATTCGGAGCAGCCATCTTCCCGACAGTTCGCACGCCGGATCGGACAGTTTTGACGCGCATGTGTCTCGCGCTTTAGACTTGGCTACAGCGCAACGGAGGCGCACAGCTGGGCACGCGGCGGCGCCAGTGCGTCCGCCGCGGCTATGACGTCACTCCTCTGTAATGCGCAGACCGGCGAGGCGGGCGAGGTGGGCGCGGCGGCAGCGGAGCCCGCGGCGGCGGCTTCGCGTGGCTCTTATAATGAGCCGTGCTCATTATGCGAGCCGTGTTCATTATGCGGAGCGCGCGGCGCCTATCTCATTATGCGGAGTTTCGCCGCCGCCATCGCGCGCTTCGCATAATGAGCATGGCTCGCATAATGAGCACGGCTCCCCAATTACGAGGGCCACGCAACATTGCTGAACCTTGGCCAGTGTAGCTAACGCTACAAACTGCGTGTTTTTTTTATAGACCGTTAAAAACTTATTTTTAAACAAATTGATACATTGTTTAGCTGCAAAACTAATAATGTTGTTATCAGTATTGAATGCAAAGGGTGTGCTCAAGGCAAGACTGTTTACTGTCCGATTGCGCACGTGAAAGTTTGGTGCGGCATTGGAAGTGGATTTTACTTCCCATTGTTTAAAAAAAACAATCAACACACAGAGACGAAGAAAACGACATTACGAATTAATATCCTCGTGGCACGCTGAGCACTGCGGATATCTCGCAAACCTACATCTGCAAAATCAGGGCAAAGTAAAGCGAGATACTCGATCAGCGTCCCCGTGCCATTGAAGCAATCAATGGAACAGCAAAGGCACGTAAAGCGAGTGCATTGGGCTCCAGGAGGATTATGTCTATAAGGTGGATATGTATGCCGACTTCTATGCGACCGGTAGCTTTAGGAAAGTAATAAAAATGAAACCAATACGAGAGGTACGCCCCTCGTAGAGGGGATGGATTTTTTTAAATATACACAGAATCCATAGACATATAGAATACGTACTCTATCACACAAATACCGCTCATATTAGGGCAGCTAATATGACATGGTACAGGCTTTTGTATGCTTTTTATCCAAACGCCTATGCCATGTCCTAATGACTGCCTAAGTCTGTGCGGTCATTGGGCTAAAGGAATAGCTGGAGTATGTATTTACATATTGAGTGTACTAGAATAATTGTCATCATTCTTATGTTTTTAATCAGTTCATCGGATTTTGGAGAAAAGAAAAGAGCATTCCTACAGAGGCATGCTTAGTACCCGTTATAAAAAAAACACTCTTCTGGTGTCAATGTTCGTTCCCTGGGATGATCCCGACCACCAGTCCCATGAGAATGAAAGCATAAAAGATTCTTGTTACTTTTTATAAACAGCGACTCCATCATCCAGCAGAGCTGGCGAGGAAAGCGAAATAATGCTTACGGGTTATGGTCTTGGGACTTGGATATTTTATGGGTGCTTCCCTGGTTACCTCACATACAGATGGTGTAAGGTTAGCGGATTTCAAAAGATTTAAAATGTAGGGAAGAATTTCGTCTGGTCCATTCATATCGATGGTGGGAGGAATATAATTTCTGCAGATCTGTATGAGAACGTTAAGAAACACATTACAGAACAGTTATTTCTAGAACGTAGATGCGTTTCCTCAAATGTGAGAGGAATTTAGTCAGCTTCTCAAAACCTGGAAAGACATGACACCAATATAAAGTTCAGCCATCAACTAGATTTAGATTTTAAATTTTACCCAAAATATTTCGTGCAGAAATAATGGTAGATTGATTTATATCAGAAGTAGCCTTCACTTAGATATGTCTAGTACTACAACAAATAAGCCCACCAGAGGGTCTTTACTTCAGCATCTATATGCTTCTTTTCTTGCTATTTTTGATTGATTGGTTCTGAACTGTGCAAATTACTACAGTAATTGTTTTCGAAAAATTATTATGCATCAAACAATGCCAAAAGACATCTCTATAAAATAACCCTAAGAAGCATCTATCGAATGACGCATTTTGAATCCTTACTACCGGCTTTACAGAAGAGTATGTTCCACAGTCCTTGCTGAGGATATCTTGATATTATATTATAACATATTTACAGTGTGCTCTTTTTTGCGGCCAAGAGCACGTAGCAACACTTAGCAATTTGGCGTAAAATTTTTCTTGCCATGAAGTTCGGGATTAACTTAACCATATTCACCCTGTTTGCTTTGCAGCTACTCACCTCCGCGTACTTCTTCCAACGTGCCATCTTGATTAAGTTCTGCCGAAATCGAATATGTGGACTGGCAGCAAAGAACCACAACAAACATTCGGCTCCTGGTTCCATTAGCTCTGCAAGATTTTTGAACGCTTTCTCCTGATTTTCTACCCAGTTGAAACAGTTGAAGGAGTAGACGCGATCAAACCTTCCATACATTTTGACGAAGTCGACCACGTCATCTGTTACGATGTCGAGGATGTCGTAGGAGATCGTTGGATGGGCATAGTGCGTCTGCGCGTATTCCACCATGTCCCTCGACACGTCTACTGCGACGATTCTCCGGCATGGCAAGCAGCGGGGAAGCAGGCAGTAACGCGTGATATGTCCAGGACCGCAACCCACTTCAAGAAACTGCTGGTCATCTCTGGCGTCCTTGTCGTAGGTCCCCTTCATCGCTTCCAGTCCATCGACGGCAAACGAGAACCATGTCTTTGCGGTAGCATCATTGTAGCGCTTCGCATCCAGTAAAGTGATCGAGGTTTCGTTGTTTGTGGCCATAATGACGGATCCGGAACTATTAACAATCCTATCAGAACCGGCTTATATAGCCAACACTGACGCATCTATACATTTTATCCCGAATTGCACACGGGTGTTTCGCTCTTTATATTGGAATTGCTTCCTGCAGGTGGCCGGAGGTTTATTACGTCATTTAGGAAACTGAGCACCTCTTAAAGGACACATGCAAAGGAAAAAAACATTTCTTTAGACAGCTTAGATGGGAAAACGATGTCATAAAACGATTTTACGACGCAGGAAAAACATTTTTTGAGCTATATTTACGGCGCTATACGAATTTGTAGTTGGCGCTCGCGGGAGCCGTCGCTGGTCACGTGGTAGGCCCGCGCGCCACCGCGCTGCGTCTCCGCCGCACGCTGAGCGTTGTGCGAACGCCGCTTCAACACGTTTCTCCACGCCGCCGTCGCCGCCGCCACACAAGTTCGTCTGCTTCGGGGCGCCGCCGCCGTCGTCTGACCGGCGCACAGGTCTATCACGTCTGCTTGCGGTTTTTGAGGAGTTTCCTTTGGGCTCTAAAAGTTACATATTCATATCAGTTTTTAGAGCGCAGCTCTTAGGCGCCCGTTTCCGGCTTGAGCGGCGTCGCCGTTGCCGTCGGCGTAACCAAGGTCAACCCAAGGTCACGTTACCCCTCCCACGATCATGTGACCCCCGAGGTCACGTGACCCCCAGATCACGTGACTCCTTCCAAGGTCACGTGACCCCCCCGCCCCCCCTCCCCCCCCCCCCCCGAAATCAGGCGACACCTCCCCCTCCGAGGTGACGTGACCCCCTCCTCACGAGGTCAGGTGACCCCCCCGGAGCATATTAAAGAATGAGGGGAGGAGGAGGAGAGGGAGGAGGCGGAGGAGGGGTCTACCTTCCCCTCAGTACGCTTCCCTCCTCCTCCTCAAGAGCTGCGCTCCAATTTGGCATTACAGGGAGTTGTAAACGTATTTCACTTTTTGTTATACTTCAAACAAAGATGAATAAGTTACATTTAGAGGCCATAGGAAGCTTCCGAGAGAGCGCAAGCACCACGTGACAAATATGGGCCCGTCACGTGATAAATAAGGGCCACTTTTCCGCGGCGCCCGCTGGCGCGAAGTACAAATTCGTATAGCGCCGTAAATGTAGCTCTAAATTTTTTTCTTGGTTGTAAAATCGTTTTATGATATCCTTTTTCCATCTAAGCTGTTTAAAAAAATGTTTTTTTCCTTTGCATGTGTCCTTTAACTGGCTGGGATGATGTGATGTGCGGAGCAAAGCAATGGAGGAAAGGGGGGGGGGGGTGCTGTGTTCTTAGAAAGAGTTTACCAAACCCCAGAGAAGGCAGGTCTTAATGGTGGGACCGTGATCTGGCCGGACCGGCCCGTTTCAACAGTGCGTTTATCCTTGTCCCCGTGTGAGTGAGCGCTAGGTGAGCAGACAACGCACCATAGACTTTGACACTAGACTGACTGGATTGTGGACAAAGCGAAAACTGACTCAGAATTTTATCAAGCTATAGTCTCAAAATCTGCTGCATCGAAAGATGCCTATCTCTACCCCAGGTGTTTATCACTGTTTTTGTGTGAACAGAGCCGTGCTATATTGAAAAGGTACCGCGTCGTCCACTGGTAAAATATACGACATTTGGCGGTGTTCATTTTTTTTTTAAAGTTTACACTTGTATTAAATGGGAATGTATTTTATGTTAATTCGGCGCAAACGAGACATTTAATCAACACATTTTTATATATTTCATCAAATGAACATGTTTAGGGTCCAACATGAAATATTACTTTGCTGCTCTGGTTACGTGTCGCATGTTTTGTTTGAAATATCGAACTAGATGTGTAATTGTCATATTTTCTTATGTCAAACAGATATGGAGTGCATATGCATATGCACGATTTAGTATCTGACACTTAGAAAGTGCGGTTTATTTTGTGCACATACGGACTTTCTCGTAAAACAACAAGCATTTCTTAGCCCGAAAGGCTTCAAATGTGTTTATCATGTGTTTTGGTTTCATTTCTGTTTTCAGTGATTTATGCCGGGTTACTTGGACTTTTTCCTCTTGAGCTAATTTTGTCCGGCATTCTACATGTTACGTATCTTCTCCTTCAATACATGGTGCGAAGCTCACACACCTTGCAAATCACCCCAGCGCCAAGTAAATAAATATAGTTTGGATAAATATTGTTGCTTCACTGGCTTTTACGCTCAGATATTGAGGTAAGTACTAACATTAAATAGGATACCTTAGATAGGTCAAAATTCAGCTGAACATCTGTGCGAAGTGCAGTTCAAACCTCTCATAGTACGAGATTCGAGTCCTAATAGCGCCCATACAAATAATACATTACGATTTCTCTTGTTAACTCATGACAGACTGCTACACTACCTAACACTGAATAAAAAAAAAAATAAAAGGTGGATTTTTTTTAGAAAATGTATACTTTAAACTGGCGCGTTTTTCTAAATATTCGTTTTTCTGGCAAATGTTCCGCATTATATGTTTACAGCAAAATATTCAAATTATATTGAAAAGAAGGAGCTCAATTGGAGCTTTACTGTGATGTAAAGATTATAAAAATAGATTGATTAGGTCACACAGCACAGCTTGCTGAACTTCATCAAATATTGTTGCAAAGAAACAATTGGACAATTAAAAAAAAATATCTTTGACCTAGACGCTTACTTAGCATAACTGGCCGTTTGCGTCTTCTATTATTAAATGAATTTACAGGTAGCCACTAAAAGTTCGGACGCGTTAATTATGACTTTGAGTATTTTTGTGAGTCACTTGTATTAGTGGGCGACTAATGAACAAAAACCAAGATATAAGTTCTTATAGCCGCAATACAAACAAAATATTACATTTTCTGTTTATTTTACTTTTGAAAGCACTGCAGTAAAAAGCTAGAGAAAAACAATTAGCCAAATAAAAGGTAGGCCTTTTAAAAATATCAACCTCCGATCCGAAAAGTTTTTGAAATAGTCCTTGCTTTACAAGAAAATACTGCCCTTTCTTTTTTACACAAAACATAAATTTTTTTATCAATAGGAGGAGTATACTCTAACCTTTCTGAAAATACTAAATATGATAAGACACCTTACATAGGTCACGCGGAAGAGCTGGTAAATTTTGACAAATATCGTCCAAAAATGTCATATTGGCAAATTTCTCCCAAAAAAAGTTCCATATAAATAATTGCGTTAAAAGTGTTTATCAGAGAGTAAGTGTGTTCGCAGGTTTCTATTAAAAAATAAGAGGCGCCAATTTCGAATTGGTGTATTTTTGAGAGTAAGTTGATTTACTGACAAAATAGTCAAACGAAATTAAATTTCAAGCTTTTACAGCTGCCATACAAACAAAATATTACATTTTCTATTTCTATTCCCTTATCAAGCACTGCAAAAGCTAGCTAGAGAAATCATCAACCAAATAAAAGAGTTTTTTTTTTTTTTTTAAATGAACCTCCAATTTGCAAAAATTTTGAAAAAGTACTTGCTTCATGAGAGTACGCTGCCCTGAGTCGATCATATAACGGAATTTTCTGCTCGCACGTCCGTTTGGTAAACTAGGTAGCTCATATGGCACGATAGGGACTTTTAGAAAACCGTTACCGCGTTCCAAGTAGCGCACTATCGTAGTCTCATGCTTTTAAGCGCCCGGCCGGGAGATATCATGACCGCGGGACGCACGCTTAAATCACAACGGGAAGCCAGCGGCTCCTATCGGAAGCGCCGCAAAATACAGCCACTGCCTCCCGGGAGTTTCCCAACTGACCGTAAAGGCGTGACCACACTAGCGTGAACGGGGCCGTACGGCGTCCCAACGCGAGGAGTCCACATTGGCCTTCGTTTTGCGGGCGTCACGTGACAGCACTGGATCTCGCGATCGCACCTCCCGTCGGATTTCCCGCTCTTTCGTCGTCTGCTCCTCGTTAGATTCTTCCGTTTCGGCTCTCATGTTTCGCATATATCAGCATCAAAACCGCACTCGCTGACTACATGGTAGGAGTCCATGATGACTTGGTGATCAGCGTGAATGTGATTATCGTAGCCTGCTCGTTGCTCTTGCGACGTCGCCGCGTTCTGAAGGGAAGGAGGCGTCGGTTTTCGGTCCGGCCGAGTTGGTTCTACCGAAACACCGAAGAACTGGTCAGTGCTTTGCTGCCCCGGCGGCACGCAGATATGAAGGCTACGTTCGAAAGTGTCACCAAATCAACACGACATCCGTTAAAACACAGACGACATGCAACAAGTGCCACGGAGAAACTCACTTGTAATTCCGAATTCTTCTCCTATAATTTCCCAGCGGTTGTTCTTAGCGTCATTATCTAGGTAGTCTGGCTGCGTCTTGTCATATAAAAAGAAAGACAGTCGTACAGTTTCAAAGAACCGCTGTGTTGCGGAAGGCATCGGGGGGAAATAGGAATAGCAGACGACACGAAACACGTCCTTCGGAACGCAAAAGACGCGCGGGGGACCGGCTTGAGAGTTGCCACGGCATCGCGACGTCACTATCTACGTCACCTCCCATTGGCTCCTCTCTTCTGCGGCGAGCGGCGGCGAGCTCTGAACCGCGCAAGGAGCGGTTGACTGCGCGGCGCCGTACGTCGCGCCGTTGAAGCCGAAAACTGGTTTCGGTGGCAAGCGGCAGCGCCGACCGTCGCGCCGCAGGCCTCCGCGACGCCATGTGGTCGTGCCTTTAGGCCTCCTTCACACAGCCGTTTTTTCCCCGGCCCGGAGAAAGCGCCGGCCGTCCTTTCCGCCGGGGGAGAGGGTGTTGGGACCGGTTTCCGGCCGAAATCGGGCCGCCGGACCCGAAATAAGCCGAACGAGGACGTTCAACGTCCCCGGCACCGGCGAGAGACCGGGATCGCCGACGCCCCGCTGCATCGAGGGAAGGCCAATCACAGATAGGAAATTTTCGCTGAATCTGGCGGATTCTCAAAAGTTGGGTGACCATGGGCACGGCCGCGGCAGGGGGAATTGACCGTTCTGTG